CTGAAACGTCCTTCCTAGCAAGGTTAAACTGAATCCCTTCTTTTTGTTCTTTCACTAATAAATCAGTGTAACATGCAATCATTTTTCTTTAAGAAACAGGGTCTGGAGTCCTAACAAACTGTTTTTTTAGAAGTGTCCTCAATTTGAAACATGACTGATCATGTTGCATGATGTGGTATGAGGTGGGCCAACAATTGCTAATTGAGAAACAGAAGCCCAAGATCTTAAGGTATGAGAACCTAGAAGCATTAATCTTTTAATCCCAGAGTATCTTAAATCTGCTATGAAGACTTCAGACAGCTGCAAGATTCAGATAAATGTCTAGTATTATCTCTGTTCAATACCACTCTTGTACTGCAAATAACTGGATAAATGCATAGCTTTAGTGTCTGGTCAATGAGATATATTGACACAATTACTGAGTTGCTCTTAGGTTTAAGATATAACTGACATATCACTATGGTATTGCTGCTAGTATGTATCAACAATCTTATCTGTTCTCGAGCTTAATGTCTAAAATATTCTGATCATATTTAAAACATTTTTCTGAATATTTAAAATATCAGCAAGAACACAGAGAATTACAATGAAAATGGAACAATAATTGTTGCAACACTTGTAATAATTGTCACAACTACTATTAACACATCTTAGAAATACTACTATGAACGGCAGAATAAACTAGATAATTTCTTCTGAACACTGTGAATTTACAATTGTTTCACAATAAATTTCTAATGAAATTAACAACATTTTAGATATAGAAAATGGAAAATGAATTTTAACCTCCAACTACAATCTGCTCCGGATTGTAGACCTTACGACAAGCTAACCCAGAGTGAAAAATCATTACACATTTATGCAAACAAATCTCTGTGCAGGATATGATGATGTGATTTTTTGTTTTCCCTTTAAAAATTTTTTACCATGGTAGTACATAAGTAATTTTTTCTACTAGGTTTACAATCCCTGAAGCATAACCCAAATTCATTTCCACAGTAGTTAATCTTTTGCTTCATTGGGGTCTATCATGAGAAAATCTTTCAATTCTTACCACTATGGAACCATTTTTTTTTGTCGCAATGTACTGAGCAAAAACAAAACCAACTACTTTATTCTTAATAAGAGCAAATGAAAATAGCTTAGAACTTGAACAAAAATATAAAATGGTAGAAGTGTAAAGATATTCTTCAGAGGTGGGGCAGGCAATGCAGTCATGGAGCAAACACATGCATTTGTCCAGCAGGGTATGGAGACACAGAAAAGGATGGAGTAGTTAAAGAGAGCTATCTCTTAAGGGTCAACAACTGGTCAGAGAATTAGCGTAAAGAATTTTGGTGAAGAAATCTCAATTTTCATAAGCAGTAGTACCATACACTCAAGCATAAGTCAATCTCACATATACCTCAGGATAGGTTTTTTGGAGGGGATATATGAATTTTGTTACTAAAAATGAGGCAGACACAATTATATGTAGTATCATTTATATAAGCCTGCCCGAGCTCTGAGGTCTTCAGGAGAGGCCCTTCTCTCAGTCCCACCTCCATTGCAACCTCGGTTGGAGGGAGTGAGAGTGTGGGCCTTCTCTCTCAGTGGCTGCCCCTCGACTATGGAACCCCCTGCCTAGGAAAGCCAGAATTGCACCCTCCCTGCTGTCCTTCCAGTGGCAAGTTAAAATCTTTTTGTGTTGTCAACAGCTTTCATGGCCAGAATCACTGGGTTGTTGTGAGTTTTCTGGGCTGTATGGCAGTGTTCCAACTCACAGCAACCCAGTAAAACCTTTTTATTCAGACAGCCTTTTAAATAAAAAGATTTTTAAGATCAAGTCAAGGGTGCTGTGGTTTTAGCTTTGAATATATTTTGAATTAGTTTTTGTGGATTTTAACTGTGGTTTTTAAAATACCAGTGATGTTTAATTCTGTTTTAATGTTTGTATATTTGCAGATTTTAAATTGTATTGAAATGCGTTTAATGTAAGTGTGACGATGTGTAACTTTTATTCTTATGGTTATGTGTAGTTTAAACAGTAGTTAATAAATGGTAAGTATGTAGGATTATATTTTGTTAGAGATGGTGGCTGGTGGCTTGAGCTGAGTTGCCATAGCAACGGGGGCGGAGCCAACTGTCACTTCACAGCGCAGCTTTTTGAAAGTGGCAGTCTGTAAGCCGGAGAGCTACAGGAAAGGACTGATTTCTCTAGTGGGAGAAACAGGGAATTAATTTGTGACCAAAGGGGTTACAGGAAAGGGCCTGGTAGTGATAAAACTACAGGGGGTTATTGATTCTGGGTTAAGAATCAAGGTTTGGCTGGGAGCCAATTCTGTTGAATAGGCCTTTTGGCTTATTTGTTTTGTTGGGACAGTTGTCCAGAAGAGATACATCTGCTTATAGAAACCTCTTGAAGTCTGTGCCTGAGGTTACTCATGAAACCTTACTAATGTAACCAATCAAGATTTGTGCCTCTTGTGAAGAAACAGTTATACATTGTTATACTCCTGTTAAAATAAACTTGTTACTGTTCTCCTCAAGCCTTGCCTGATACAGTTTCTCTTAAGTCAAACAGCCTGCATAAGAAGTAAAGCCAAACCAGGGACAGAAAACGCTACGCTATCAATACTTCTGTAAATAATAGTTCCTTTATAAACCAGCTCATAAGCTGATATTGATCATTGCCCGGCTTTCCTCACAGATTAGGTGGCAGTAGTTTTACCCTCCTTTACAGTAAGCCGCTTTGAGTCTCCTTTGTGGAGGGAAAGGCGACATACAAATAAACATTATTATTATTATTATTATTATTATTATTAAGATCGCACAGACAGACTACAAGCAAAGGCATAACACCGTTATTCAGATGATTCATTGGAACTTGTGCCACAAATACCATCTACCTGTGACAAAGAACTGGTGGGATCACAAGCCGGAAAAAGTTATGCTTGAGTGTATAGTACTACTCCTTATGAAAATGAACACGTCAAGCTACTCTGGGACTTCCGGATTCAGACAGACAGAGTTCTGGAGCACAATACACCTGACCTCACAATCGTGTTAAAAAACAAAGTATGGATTATCGATGTCGCAATTCCAGGTGACAGCAGGATTGCAGAGAAACAACTGGAAAAGCTGACACAATATGAGGATTTAAAAATCGAACTGCAAAGATTCTGGCACAAACCAGTAAGGGTGGTCCCAGTGGTGATCAGCACACTGGGTGCAGTGCCTAAAGACCTTGGCCTGCACTTAAACACCATCAGTGCTGACAAAATTACCATCTGCCAGCTACAGAAGGCCACCTTACTGGGATCTGCACGCATTATTCGCCGATACATCACACAGGCCTAGACACTTGGGAAGTGTCTGACGTGTGATCCAATTCAACAGCCAGCAGAGTATCTGCTGTGGACTCATCTTGTTGTGTTTCAAATAATAATAATAATACCAATATGCTATACTCAAAGGAACAGTTTCATTCAATTGATTGTAACACTGAAAAAAGTGTCCCTCCTGAAAAAAACTATCAGGGTCTATGCTTGAGATGTGAATCCCTACTCTGAATTTAAATCTGACCTGACACAGCCTGTCACGTCATTGTTTTCTCTTCTCTTTTCTCATCCTCTCTTCCCTAAATTCTCCTTTATTTCTTACTAAGGGAACTATTGCTGCCAAGCCTTTTCTTTCCTTTGCTTTGTAAGAAAGCATATTAACACAGAATACTTTTGCAAGAGAGTAACAACGTTTAATTGTGACCTCCAAATAAAGACATCTATTTAAACAGAACAACAAATTTCAGCATGCTAGTTGGCAAATAATGAAATACAGTGGATCCTAGATATACACTGGGGTTTGGTTCCAAGATGGAAACATCCACCCCTTATAAATAACAAAATCCACAAGAAAGTGGCCCTTCCTATTAAGGTTGGAACATGGGAGAATCGAACAGAAGTAGATTACTCCTCCATGCCATCCCAAGAATGGAATATTTTCAAACCATGGATTGTTGAATTTGAAGATACAGAATCCATAGATACAGAGGGTCAACTGCAGTATTTATGAAAACAGGACTTTTCTGATTTTTTTGTCTTATATTGAAAAATACCAATACGAATTAATCCTTTACTATTCACAAGAGTCAACAGTTTATTCCAAGCAGTGACAAAAGCCATAGCTAAAGTTCTAGTGTTACAGAGTTATACTGGTAAAGTGTTTTATAATTGTTGTATATATAAAATGCATGGGGGCAATTAAAAAACTGCACAGCTAACTAAAGTGACACAAATTATATTCGAATTATTTAAATAGAATATGAAAACTTTATTTTAATTACAGCATCGCATATTTTGACTTTTCAGTTCTGTAGGTTAATTTCTCTATTATGTATTAAATGTAAAACTACAAACTAGTTTTATAGTCATAAACTATGAACTATAGTCATAAACTTCAGAGTGGGGCACAACATTAGAGATAGACAGATAAATAAGTTAATGCCATTCTCCTCTACCTGATGTCTCCAAATGTGTTTTGCTACCAACGCTATTAGCCTCAGCCAGCATGACCAATGAATAGCTGCATTTGAAAAGTGCTATCCTGATAGAGTAGTAGTATAGCGAAACAACATGAGCTACAAGGACAATATTTAAAAACATCAAATGCAATAAGGTCTTATTGATTAAAACACATAGGAAACTTTAAAAAATACTTTAACCTGGAACTAAAAAAAAAAAATTGTATGTGCTGCAATTTGAACATTTTAAAGTTGGATACAACTTCTGGAAAAATGCTCTCCTTTTTAATGAATAATATACTCCTGATAAAGAAAGGGTATAGGAAAGGCCCTTAGCAGAAAATCGTAAAACAGAGTTAGGCTGGTATAAGAAGAGGTGGTCCTTTACATATTTTTACTGAAGAAAAGTAGTTAAAGTCCTTCATGACATAAATGAATTTTGGTTAATCATAAGTGGCTATTATTCCAACCAAAGTACAAATCTATAGAAGTTACTACTTACCTAAGTTTGCATCTTCCCACACTTCAAAATGCAAGTTGGGATCAAATGCCAAAAGAGACCTACAAGATATAAAATCTTCTATGAAGTTGTTTTATGTTAGCTGCATAGTACTGATAGGGAAACTGATAGAGCATTTTGAGAGTTATAGTTAATTCCTGCATTGCATGTTTATTAATGGATTTGAATGAGAGCAGGAAGATCAATGCCATTTTTATTCAAATATATGTGAAAATAACCATGTGCAATGCTTGTCAAAGTATTTGAGCATTTACAACAAAATTGGGAGAAAGAAGGAGCTGCACATCAAAATATTACTGACAGCAGTAATACTACTGCACTAACATTGATTTTTGGTAGCCATTTTCTTTTTGTATCAAACACTGATGATTCTGCATTTCTTACTGCACTCTCTCTTTAAACCTGAAGGTGGCAATGATTAACTCATGCTGTGTTCCATTTTTCTAAAGCTTATTAAGAGTGATTTCTGTCGAGTACAGTTTCCATTAGCATTTTAGATATATAATTGCAGCATAAAATTATTCTCATTTTATTATTTCATCCATATTTTTCTTTCCATTAGGAAGCATGAAGGTTTATGTTCTTTGTGTCTTGCCTTCTTTGTGGCATGATTCCAAGAGCATATTAGATTTTTAAAACAAATTACATGAACATAGGTCTTTGGCGTAGAAGTTTAAAACATTACATTAAAAATGTATTAAAATACTAAATTACAGAAGTTGAAAACATTAAAAAAACAGTGGTGAAAGCAACATTAACATAAACATAAAAGCCTGCCTAAATTTTGGGGCCAAGCAAGTCCCCTGTAGCAGGAAATTACACAAACTGGAAGTAGCCACCTGTGACAGTACCTAGAAGATCTTAAAATTCATACAGGCCTATAAAATGTAATGTTGTCTATATAAGGGTATAAAGTTCATAATCAACATTTTGAATTGCACATGGAAACAAACTGATAGTCTGTGAAGCTGTTGCAATATAAGAGTTCTATAGTCCTGGTACCCAGTTCTTGTCAGCAGGGAAACTGCAATGTCAGGCTGAATACCTATTCCTTGTACTGTCTTTCTAACGACCAGGAGGACCTCTGTCACGATTAAGTTGCAAAGTTTGGTCTCATCCAGTCTATTATTAACAACAAACACTGCTTTGACACTGAAACAAATTCATTGAATTTAGATCAGTGGTTCCCAACCTGTGGCTCGTGGACCACCAGTGGTCCCAAAGAACTAAAATATGGTCCGCGGCCTCACAACTACTACCCTTTATTAGAACCTTGCAGCTATCAGCCACTTCCACAACCGACACCACATCGAGCATCTTTCTTCTTAAAATATCGCAAAACTTCTCCTTTGTGTAATGCTCCATCAGTCTCTTCCAGTCCCCCATCTTGCCATTTCCTTTCCCATCTCCTTCTATAAAAGAACACCTGGTCAGACAACCAATATGGAGAATTAAACGGGGATACACATTCTGGATATTCTAAATGGAACAGTCAAAAGTCATGGCCACTTACATCCCTTGTCTGAAATGTTACAGTTAACCTTCAAGATATTCAAAGTGTCTAAAGCAGGGATGGGCAAACATTTTAGCATGAGAGCTGCATTGTGGTCCAGTTTGGAGCCAAAAGGGGAGTTTGACATGCTGCACCCTCCTGTCAAGAGAACTTGACATGCAGCTGTGTGTGGCTCTCGGGAGAGACCTGCATAGCCGTGTGTGACCACAAGGCTCTCCTCTCCGCAGGAGGACACAGCAGTCTATCACTCATGCTGAGAGTATAGGGAGACACGCGGCTGCCAAGAGCATCAAAGAGTTCTTGACAGCCATGTGTCTCTGCCCCAGCCCTCCTTTCAGCATGGGAGTACAGCGGGCTGTTGCATCCTCATGCTGAGACGATAGGGAGACAGAGGAAAACCAAAGGAAGGCGCTAACAGGGATACATCCAGCCCATGGGCCTGGGTTTGCCCATAACTGGTCTTAATAGCCATAATACAAGGGTCCACATTTCTCTCTGGCTCCCAAAAATAATACCCCAGAGGATAGCATCGGAATTCAAAACAACCATAATAGATTTGAAAGCTGGGCTAAAATGAAGAACAACAATTTCAACGATAGATCTAGGCCAGAAAAATAAAATGTATCATTTGATTTATAAGCAGCACAAGCAAAAAAGGATCTAGGGATCTTTCTGACCACAAGATAAACATGAGACAATAGTGTGACTTGACAGCACCCCAACCCCCCAAAAAACCAATAAAGTTCTAGGCTGTGTAGACAGCAGCGTCACTCAATTTTCATGTGATCAGACCTCACCTGGCATACTACGTCCACTTCTGGACAATATTACTAAAGAAGAATATTGACAAATCCAGAGGAGAGCAATCAAGATAATCAAAGGTCTAAAAACTAATCCCTATGAGGAACAGCTTGGAAGCTAATAAATTCTAAATATTTGAGTATCCTCCCTGACCTGAAATAATACTCTGAGAATCTTTAAAAATCCACTACAGAAAATGTTCCTGTTTCATATTTCCTCAGGACAATCCAGATTAGATAGTGCTAAACCTCATCCCATGCTTACTGTTCACTCCTACAGAAACGAATACTCATCATAATGGAAAACACAATCATTATCATTTTGTAATTTACATGACATCTCAAATTATTCACACATTTTTTCCATTATCAAGTAAGAATTTATTACTGCTCACCCATTACACTTTTAATCTTATTTTCTTGAGTCAAATGTGGAGTCATTGAAATCATCAGGACTCAATCTGGGACTAACTGTTTCAATGGGCATACTCTGGATATGCTTAACATGGGATCTAGCCTTCTGGTATGAACCATATCACCCAAAAGAGAAATCAAAGACTGTCATAGTAAAATAGAGCCCTAAAATAAAACTCACAGAGGATGTGAAAAAAGAGGGATAAAGAAGAAAAGATCTATTACCTCAAACAATGCATGTACCCAAGAAATTTATCAAACTACTAGCTGTTCCCTGCCACGCATTGCTGTGGCCCAGTCTGTGTATATGTTTTGTGTGTGTATATATGTATATGTGTATATATGTGTGTTTCTGTGTGTATCTGTATATGTGTGTGTGTGTGTGTGTGTGTGTGTGTGTGTGTATATATATATATATATATATGGTTTTGGACATGCGTTGTAATGTTGTTGTTTTTTTGGCTTTCAAAGTCTCTTCTGCTGTGTTTTTCAGTGTCTTTATGAGTAATGGTCATTCCTTGGCCTGATACGTGTATTGTATCCAAATTTGGTGTCAATTCGTCCAGTGGTTTTTGAGTTATGTTAATCCCTCAAACAAACATTACATTTTTATTTATACAGATTGACAATTCTTAGCCATTTATATTAATTACTGGAGAAAAAGAAAATTCTTAAATGGGGATGAAACATTTTTAAAGATGGAGGGAAGTGTATTTTCCTTATCAATTCATAAATTCTCAGAATAGCCCAATTAGCTGAAGACCATAACACCATGTTTAACTGGAAAGTAAACCCTAAGCTGGGAAAAATATTTTCTGCCAAGTATATAGTGATTTATTTAGCTTACAAACACAAAAAAAACTTTCCTCATGAGAAAATATATTTGGGGCTATTTGGTTTAGAGAAAAAGTGCATATGTAAGAGACAACATAGAGGTGTATAAAATTATGCATGATGCTGAAGGATAAATTCTTATTTCATTCTCATAAATCAATTAACTCAAAGCATTTGATTTCATTGTACCGTCTACAATGACATTAAGTTATTTTATTCTATTCTATTCATGAGATGAACCTGGAAGATGGAAGGTTCAGGACAGATTAAATCAAGTATTTGTACATGCAGCATCTAGTGAAAGAAAGCCAGCATAGTGAAGAAGCCAAGTGTTGGTATTATGGCTTTGGAGGCCAGGGTTCAAGCCCTTACTCAGCCACAGAAGCTTTGCAGGAAGGCAAAGGTACCACCACCACCACCGCCCAAAACAACAACAACAACACAAATCTTTCCAAGAAAGCCCTGTAATAGGTTCAGCTTAGGGACACAGTAAATTGCAAATGCTTTGAAAAAATGTGCATCTGCGCATACATGGTTTTGAAAAAGTTCTACAAGTTGCCATGAGGACTTACAACTTGGATGGTTTTTAATGAAACAAATTAATAGAGAATGAAGTTATGTCAACTGGGGCAATACCAGAAGTAGTATAGCTTGTTGGGGAATGCAAGCAGTAGGGTGCTATGAAACATGTCATATTTGTTGGCCACTGATGCACAAAACCAGTCTTTGGTTTTATCCTCTATGGCTGTTACAAGCTTTTAGGTTATTTCTATCAGAACAGTTCTCAGGTTTAGAATACCTTATCAAAATGCTGTTTATAACATCTTCCCATATTATCTCTAACATCAACTAAATGACTCTAACAGTGAAATGATACTAAAAATTACCAGAACAGAAAAAATACCCCTTTATAAGGAAAAGTAACATTGTCTGGCTATCTCTAAACCGAAATGTTTGGGGATAGCAGTAAAGAGAACCGGGGCTAGAAGAAAACACACAAAATGGATTTCTAAAAACCCTTTTCTTGCTGTTACCTAAAGTGAGGCGACAGTATAAGCAAGCACTGCTTTGGCAATTACAAAATTAAAATCACACACATAATACTCTGATAGAAATTACAGCTAATTTTGTTCATTTAGTCTCACTGTTGTCTGCAGTTGTTGAGCTCATAAAAATGAAACAATTGTTACATGTCCATATTGTTACATGAATTGCATAGCAACTTCTTGAAAACGGAACAGTCTGGGTCCAGTCAATTCAACAACTTGTTTGCTTGAAGTGGTATCTACAATGTGATTGCTTTAAAAACACATTCATAAGGTTGTTCTTTACATTACAAAAAGGATATTTTTTAAGACACCACACTGCTACAACTTCAAGATCCCCAATACTTTTCATTTTCTAACTTGAATTGGACCAATAAAAAAGAACACCATATTTGTCACAGCCTATTAAACAAGACTGAAAGATCAAAATACAGATATTTATTGAGCAAATAAATACCATCTAGTGCTTCAATGTCAACGTGAATCATTACTTAAGCATAAGAATGAATTGCTTGCTACTACCTTGAGCTCGCATTCCTCATTTACAAACATTGCTTCAAGAAGTTTGCTTTCTGTTTCAGATTAACAATTTAATTTACTTACTTACTTGAATTTTCTACCACCTTTATAAAGAAGTCCTAAAATGCAAGATTAAATCTCGGTTGCAACTCATGAAATAGTAACTCATTGCTAGAGAATATGAATAATCTGGCTGTCTTCTAACAGCGGCCAAACAGGTGGCAACACCTAGGCTGCATCTATATTAGGTATCCTCAAACTGCAGCCTTTCAACTGTTTTGGCCTAACCTCCTAGCATTCCTGATCATTGAACAATCAATCTGGCTAGGGCTTCTGGGATTTGGAGGGGCACAGTTTGAGAATGCCCGATCTATACTGTGGAATTAATCGGATTTGACACTACTTTAATTGTCATGGTTCAATGCTATGGAATCATAGGAGTTGTAATTTAGCAAGGCATCAGCACTTTTTGGCAGAAAGAATCAAAGGTCTTGTAAAACTACAGCTGCCATGATCCCCTAGCAATCAGCCATAGCAGTTAAACTGGTATCAAACTGTATTAATTCTACAATGTAGATACATTCTTAAAATTCACTTCCAGGATGCATCTACATACTGCATTCACTCCTGTTAAACTCCAGCTCTAACATGTATATCTATACCACCATTAAGGTTAAAGGTTGTCCCCTGACATTAAGTCTAGTCATGTCTGACTCTGGGGTGTGGTGCTTATCTCCATTTCTAAGCTGAAGAGCCAGCGTTGTCCATAGACACCTCCAAGGTCATGTGGCTGGTATGACTGCATGGAGCGCCCTTACCTTCCTGCCGGAGCAATACCTATTGATCTACTCACATTTGCATATTTCCAAACTGCTAGGTTGGCAGAAGCTAGGGCTGACAGCGGAAGCTCACGCTGCTCCCCGGAATCGAACCTGTGACCTTTCGGTCAACAAGCTCAGCAGCTCAGCGCTTTAACCCACTGCGCCACCGGGGGCTCCAACACTATCCATTGCTTAATTTTGATAATTAATTTTGATAGCAGCTGCTCTCTACAAAGCCGGTTCCTCTTCCCACAATAGCTTCTCAAGGATGAAGAATGGAGGAACTTTAGGAACAGCTAAAATCACATCAGGTGCATACTATTCATGCTAAAAAAAGGCCAAGCTGGATGTGCAATAGCAAAAGCCAAATAATCTCTTGCTTTCTGCACTAAGCAACATAACTGAATGGCAACTAACTACGTTGTCCTACAACAAAAATGAACTCTCCACTCTTTCCAGCAATCAGAGGCTAGAATCTTGTTGGTGATGTATACTGAAAGTAGCTATATCAGTGTAAATCATTTTTTAAGATGAGGGCACGGTGGAAGTGGAACACCAGTAAAAAACCATATTTATGCCTCCCAGCAGCAACCACTATCAATCCTTACCCTTCATTGCAACATTTCACCCCCTTTTCATCTGCTGCTGCACTCCCAGCATTGTTAAACCAGGAAACACTCATTAAGAGGACAATATGGGATCTTATTGTTTGAGAAGCAAAAAGCATGGATCTCTGTATATGAGAATCTATCATGTGTTTGAATCAATAAACTGCCTCTAAAATTTTCCTGTATTTTAATGTATAAACTCTGCATTTTAGAAATCAGCATTGAGAACTCATGTTACCATCATCATTTTCAATATTAGCCAAATCTGTTACATCACTGCATATCTTTCAACTGCACTGTAGTTTAAAGGGTAAAAAAGGAATGTGGCAGATATCACTAAACACTTTGTTTTTAACACATAATAATCTAAAATTATCAAAGATCTAGATACAGCCGCCTAAATATATCAGTATAACTGACAATAGAAATTGAGCAGAAAGAAAAGTAAGACAGTTATTCATTCTCTTTCTGAAAGCCAGTCATCTCAAAAACTGATTCATTTGCCATTTATTAGGATTAACTGATGACAGAAAACAAGTAAAAGCTTGCTTACAGCCTGTAACCAGGTTAAATTTAGCACCTGTACAACTCAAAAACAGAGACAAAGTTTAGAAACATGTATAGAAAGTTTAGAAACAAGTTTGGCAACCTTCGGTTTTCTGAGATAAGCCTATACAGCCTGACACTTCCTAGAAAGATATTCTAAAGCCGTTTTTAATACATAGTGAGATTTCCTTCAAATATTTACTACATTTTAATCAGCCAAATATTTTTTAAACCAGTAAGCTTGAACAGTAAGCTTTGGGGTGAACTAGTTAGGTGCTCAGCAGCTGAGCCAGCATTACATTTCAAAGCCTCAGGACAGATAGAGAGAAGCAGTTGTGAACATGATACAAACTTACATATGTGCATGGAGACAGATCTACTCAAACCGGTGGTCCATGGACCTGTGCCTGTTCCCAGATAATTAGCTGCTGGTCCCCGGAGAATTTCCAGAAAAGAATGAAACACTTGCGGTCAACGGTGGCACAAATACTGTGACAGCCCTTAAATAGACTGAGGAGAAAAAACATGTCCCCCACATTATAGCTTAGGAAGCATTGCTCTGGAGGATCTTTGACCTTCAGGGAATGCTTTTTAGAAAACGCAGGAAAGGAAAACCAGTAAACATCCCTATGAAACGAAAAAACTACAACATTTCTGATTAATAGCTGAGCTGCTTTGATTTACAGATTTGTCAAAGATACTATGAATCCCTTTGGACTACAACATCACTACATGCAACCATCAGGACAATTAGAAGAGTCTACATTTGCCCTGTTAGCCCTAAAGGGTTACTGCTTCTACGAGGCCTGAAGGCTCTTTCTCTTCCAGAAAGCATGCTTGCATTATAGGTAGCCAGATTCTGGAATCATGTAGCAGGATTATAAGACTAACCTACAGCACAGGATTTCAGCAGAAAAACAGAAATAGAAAAAACAATATACTGGAGAACTCGAGCAAGAGTAGTATATTATACTGACCCTACTGTTGACTTCTCATAGAAAACTTCTTGGGCACTTGTGGGAAGGTAATTCTGAACTAGAACAGGAAAGTAGTCTGATCTATGACAAGTGTTCAATTCTCAAAGCTATCAGCTACTACTGCATTCATGTTTCTAAGCTAGGAAAAATGATAGGGTGTTTTGGTATCTGGCTACGTGTGGAAAAGAAAAGAGATGCCCTGTTGAACATTTTAGAACTATACTTCTTCCTCTATGGACTTTGTAGTCCAGGCATGGGCAAACTTCAGCCCTCCAGGTGTTTTGGACTTCAACTCTCACAATTCTTAACAGTTGGTGAAGTCCAAAATACTTGGAGGGCCAAGTTTGCCCGTGCTTGGACTAGCCTTTACTCAAAAGTACGGAGAATGCCGGGCATGTTCTTTTAAATTTCATTAAACAAAAATTAAAACCACTAACAATACAAAATTGACAATATTATATATCTTGTCATAAGCAATTTTCTAGGATGCTTCATTTTTAAAAAAAATCAGCCATAGTCCCATCCATTACCTTCAACTTTATCTTTATCCTACTGAATCCAATATATGTTTCAATTAATAACTTTTGAGTGTTTGATTCATCAAAAGAGATCCAGTTAAGTAATTTAGAATGAGGGAGCTATTGGCTCAGGCCTCTCTAGTCTGAATCTAACAGTCTCTACAATTATCTTTTGCAAAGTTATAAAAATAAAAAAGCAGCATGAGAAAAATCAGATTTGAGGATAACTCTCACCACAAAGAATATCTTAATTACTTATTCTAGTAGCCAAACAAGCCATCAAAATGTATTGAATTTAATCCATAACAATTTGTTTGACAACAATAATCAATATAGAAAACGTTTTCTGTAATTATAAATAAGACTATATAAATGGATCATGAACACACCTTCTGGTGACCCAATTAAGGCTAATACTTATGAAGAATTAATTGCTTCAGAGTCATTATTAAACGCACCCCTAAAATACATCTCAGTTTTTTTAAAAAAGAAGAAGGGGTGTATTCATATTATTTTTGCTTTGCAAAAGAACCAAGATTCAGAGAACTGGCCAAAACTATGATATATGGACTCATATTCTATTTTTTTTCACTTTATACTTCCAATTTGCTAATTATATACCTGAATAGATGAAAAGTGAAAGCTGCGATTTACCCAACATCACCTCATTCCTCCCTCATCCCTGAAGAGACCAGGAGAAGAAATTAAATCTCCCATGTCTCAATCTCTGTTGAGTCACTAATACGAGTTCCACTTATGTGAAAACTCTGTCCCACTTAATGTCTCTTGTATTGTTTCCCTATAAGAAAAACACTTACTTGTATCAGAGGAAATAACAAATTATATACACACAAACACATATGCACACACTTAAGAGCAGTGGCTCTCAACCTGTGGGTCCCCAGACGTTTTGGCCTTCAACTCCCAGAAATCCTAACAGCTGGTAAACTGGCTGGGATTTCTGGGAGTTATACGCCAAAACACCTGGGAACCCACAGGTTGAGAACCACTGCTCAAGAGTATCTTGCTCTGTTCAAAACATCTCTTCCATGTTGTTTTCAAAACAGGCATAATACAGACTGGTGACCTCTTACCTATTCTATAGCAGCTAAATTCTTCCATTAGAATTGTTTTCACATCATGAATCATTCATCTAAGAGAAATAAAGAATTCCAAGCATTAGTTGGCCCACATAAACATAAAATGAAATGGTCTTACGAAAGTAAAAAAAAAAATGCATAGCAAAAGCTTGTTTATATTAGGGTTACATTATGTTTCATTATAGCCCTTCTCTTAACACACCAGTAAATTAATGGTTAAATAACCAGCAAAAGTGTGTTTGTTTGTATTATCCAGAAACATGAGCACATATTATGCAAGCATTCATCTCTACACAGTCCAAAGAACTTTATGGTTCTTGGTGCTATCAACTTTTACTACTGATCAGCAATTGGCTTTCCACATTCATGGATTCTGTATCCATGGATTCAACCAATCACGGTTTGAAAATATAAAAATACAAAAAGAATCCCCAAAAGCAAAAGCTGAGTTTGTCATTTTATACATAAGGCCATCAGATTACGTGATTGCCTATATTGCAACTTGAGGAACAAACCCCAGCGAATTCCATGAGCCTACTGTATAACTTCTCAGCGATATTTTCAGAAACTCCAAAGTCAGCACCAGACCTGTCTTAGGGTGCATCTACACTGCAGAATTAATGCAGTTGGACAGTACTTGAACCACCAGGGCTAAATGCTGTGGAATCATAGAAACTATAGTTGTAATACAGCTTCATCACACTTCATGCGGGTGTCCTCTAGGCAACATCCTTGCAGACAGCCAATTCTCTCACACCAGAGGCGACCTGCAGTTTCTCATGGGAAAACTTGGGCCCTCTGGGTGTTTTGGACTAAAACTCACACATTTCCTAACAGCCTATCAGAATTTATACTGCACTAGAGTATGGATCCACTTTAAATCTGGTCTCTGCCTCCTACAGAATTCTGAGGTTTCTAGTTTAATGAGGCCCAGGACTGTCTGGTTGAACAGTTTAAAGGTCACTCCCTAAACTACATGCCCCAGAATTCTACAGGAGGCAGGCAGAAACTGGATTTAAAGTGGATCCATTCTCTGCAGTAGTTCTCAATCTGGGGGTCCCCAGGTGTTTTGGTCTTCAACTCCCAGAAAACCTAACAGTTGGTAAACTGGCTGGGATTTCTGGGAATTGTAGGCAAAAACACCTGGGGACCCAGAGGTTGAGAACCACTGCTCTAATGTGATGAGGTCCTTACAAGGCCTTCTCTTGCAAAGAGTGTGAACGCTTCACCAAACACCAGGATTCTATAGCATTGCACCATGGCAGTTAAAGTAGTGTCAACCCACATTCATTCTACAGTGTAGATCCACCCTTATTAACAAACACTGTCTAGAATGGAAGGTCATGCATAATAAAGCAAAAGGCCTGAGAATAATGTTGGGTGTAAGTTAAAATGGATCAGTAAATAAGTGATGCCAAAGAACAAAAGACCAGGTACAAGGCCGAGCAAGTCAAAAGATTCCAAAATGGTCCAGATGGGTGAATTGGGCCCTTCCACACAGCCATATAATCCAGAATATCAAGGTGGAAAATCCCACAAGATCTGCTTCGAACTGGGTTATCTGAGTCCACACCACCATACATACCAATTCAAAGAAGGTAATGTGGGGTTTTTTTTCAGCTGTGTGGAAGGGAGCCTAGGTTAGCGACAGCTCAGCTTTGGAATGGTCCAATATCCAGCAGACATGGGCAAACTTCGGCCGTCAAGGTGTTTTGGACTCCAATTCCTAACAGCCTACCAGCCGGAGGTTGCCCATTCCTGAGGTACACGATATTAGTCAAAACATTGCATACAATGATCTCCAGGCTCTGTCTACTGGCCCTTCCACACAGCCCTATACCTCAGAATGTCAAGGGCACCATATCTCACATTATCTGAGGGCCCTTCCACACTGCCCTATATCCCAGAATATCAAGGCAGAAAAATCCCCAAAAAAATCTGCTTGGAACTGGGCTATCTGAGTCCATACTCAGATGTGGGATTTTCTGCCTTATTCTGGGATATAGGGTCGTGTAGAAGGGCCCTGTGTGCGGACTCCGATAATCCAGTTCAAAGGAGATACTGTGGGATGTTCTGCCTTGATATTCTGGGATGCAGGGCTGTGTGGAAAGACCCTATGAGGGGTATATTGAAAACATAATGAATTTCATGTTTAGACTCGGGAACCACCTCCATAGGGAAATACAGGTATTCCAATGTCGAATCCCGAAAGGCGATGCACCCCTGGCCCAAGGGATTGGAGGCAAGGTGTGCTAGGATGGGGAGCCCAACTGGCAGGCATCGGGGGAGTGGATGCTCCCTCAAGCTCAGGCCAAGCTGACCTGGCGCCCTCCGTGGCCTGCACTGCCTGCGCCGCTTCATGTGACCGAACAAAACCCCTCCTCAGAGCCACAGCAGCGGCTTCTCTTTGTGCCCGGAGGCCGGTGGCGGCTCTCCCTTCCCTTCCCTTCCCCTCCCTTTCCCTTCCCCGCTCGGCCTGGACGACGCTCCCCCTCCTTTTCCGCTCCCTCATCCGGGGCTTTGGCCACTCACCCCGAACTGAGGCGGCGGCGGCCCGGCCTGGTGGAGCCKCTTTGCCGCACTAGCGGCGGCCGCCATATTCCCTGATGCGACAGGAGGGAGCGAGCAGCGCCCCCCCCCCCACTCCTCCRCCCGCCTCCCTTTCACGCTCGCCCGCGRGCCTCACGCCAGGCCTGCTTCGGCCCTCCTCGCGCCCCACGCCTAGAGGACGCCTCCCTCCTTCCCTCCCCCCTCCCTTCGAAAAATAAATAAATAACAAAAGAACCCTAACGGAAAACTCACGGGCTCGCCAAGACGTGCGTCACACGGCGGGGGGGGGGGGGTGCGTTGAGCGTCATGACGACATCACGCCACCTTTCCGTTCGGATCCCCTCTCTTTCCAGCGCTCGCCCGAACGTCTCCTCCACCCTTCTCGCCGCCGACTGCGCGTGCGCGGAGCCTTCCCCTTCGCGAGCCGCGGAGTAGAGGTCGTGCCCTAACGGTCAGAGGGCGCCTCTCTCGCTGGGCCGCCCACAGCACCGCTTGGACGGCCGTGGCTCCCTTCTAAGGAATCCTTGGTGAGGGAACTTAGGCCCCTTCCTTCCACACATTTTCTGAATAGGTGGCAGTGTGGCTCCAGATAACCCCGTTCAAAGCAGATCTTGTGGGATTTTCTGCCTTGATATTCTGGGTTACATGGCTGTGTGGAAGGGCACATAGAATCATAGAGTTGGAAGAGACTGTGCCGTCACTGCCTGGGAATCTATAGTTCTCAGTTTTAAAAAAAACTTAGTTTAAAACCTGGGAAGGAATCCCACTGGAGCATTGCAGCGCACCCAAATACCTGGGAGTCACTCTGGTCCGTGCTCTTACCTACAAGAAGCACTGCCTGAACATCAAGCAAAAAGTGGGCACCAGAAACAATATCATACGAAAGCTGACTGGCACAACCTGGGGATCACAACCAGATACAGTGAAGACATCTGCCCTTGCGCTGTGCTACTGCTGCTGAGTATGCATGCCCAGTGTGGAACACATCTCACCACACTAAAACAGTGGATGTGGCTCTTAATGAGACATGCCGCATTATCACGGGGTGTCTGCGCCCTACACCACTGGAGAAATTACACTGCTTAGCCGGTATTGCACCACCTGACATCCGCCGGGAAGTAGCAGCCAATAGTGAAAGGACCAAGGCAGAGACATCTCCAGCTCATCCCCTGTTTGGGTATCAGCCAGCACATCAACGACTTAAATCTAGAAATAGTTTTCTAAGATCTACAGAGACACTCGCTGGAACACCTCAGCAAGCGAGAGTCCAAAAGTGGCAGGCTCAAACCCAGCACCTCAACCAATGGCTGATACCAAATGAGAGACTCCCCCCTGGGCACACAGAAAACTGGGCGACTTGGAAGGCGCTGAACAGACTGCGCTCTGGCACCACGAGATGCAGAGCCAACCTTAAGAAATGGGGCTACAAAGTGGAATCCACGACATGCGAGTGTGGAGAAGAGCAAACCACTGACCACCGGCTGCAATGCAACCTGAGCCCTGCCACATGCACAATGGAGGACCTTCTTGCAGCAACACCAGAAGCACTCCAAGTGGCCAGATACTGGTCAAAGGACATTTAACCAACTACCAAACTCACAAGTTTTGTATTTGTCTGTTTGTTTGCTTTGTTCTGTTAGAAATGTAATATAATGGACTGGTTGCTCTGACACGACAAACAAACAGTTTAAAAAAGGACGTGGCAACTATTTCCCAGGGGATTGCTTCTTGCCTTCCTTTAGGGAAACTGGAACTCCCGAGGATCAACAAAACACCATAGGTAATTCGAAATAGGCTTTATTGTTCAAAGATTTATCTTTCTGAGGTAAAATGGGGGTAAAGAAAAAATACATAACAGTCTTTGGTTGTCTTTGTGCCCAAGGAGTTTTTAGCTGAGAAGCCTTCCAAGTTCCCTCTCTCTCAATGGCTATGAGGTCGAAACACTCACAACCCCAAGTCCCAATGGCCTATATTTGAAGGACAAGGCCTTCCTCTGGTGCCAAAGGAAATGGTATGAAGGCGCCTGAGACTTCCCAATGTCGTTCAGGTTGGTCTGAACATAAAGCATAAGTCTCAGGGGTAAAAAACCTAAGAATTGGTGGTAAGAAATGACGTGACCAGGGGCTTTGGACCAAGCTTTACATACGTCCATCTAATGAGCCTTTTTGTGAGGTAAAAAAGGCGAGAGAGAGAGAGAGGTACCTTTCTTTCTCCCTTGAAAGGGGCAGAGCCTAAACAAATAAGCTGGGGAAGCACGCCAATTGGTGTAAAACAACATAGATTGACAGATGTAAATAACCAATGAAATTCAACTATACATATACAAAGTAGACAGGCATGATACAACAGTTTAAATCTTGCAACTAACAATTCGACATGTAGGTGGCGTCACACGCGCTGTCAGAGACCTCATGGGCCATCCAGTCCAACCCCCTGCCAAGAAGCAGGAATATTGCATTCAAAGCACCCCTGACAGATGGCCATCCAGCTTCTGTTTAAAAGCTTCCAAAGAAGGAGCCTCCACCACACTCCGGGGCAGAGAGTTCCACTGCTGAACGGCTCTCACAAGTCAGGAAGTTCTTCCTCATGTTCAGATGGAATCTCCTTTCTTGTAGTTTGAAGCCATTGTTTCGTCCTAGTCTCCAAGGAAGCAGAAAACAAGCTTGCTCCCTCCTCCCTGTGGCTTCCTCTCACATATTTATACATCGCTATCATATCTCCTCTCAGCCTTCTCTTCTTCAGGGTAAACATGCCCAGCTCCTTAAGCCGCTCCTCATAGGGCTTGTTCTTTGAGGGATGAGTTCGAAACTGAAAACTACTTTTTTGAGTGCAGTTTTGAGCCTAGTGTAATCAAGGGGCCCTTCCAGACAGGCCCCATATCTCAGGTTTTCTGCTTTAAACTGGATTATATGAGTCCGCTCTGCAACAAGGCATTCAGAGAAGAGAGGGGCAACCTACACTAGCCATGTATGTTGCTTCATTTCTTATTTAGTGTACTCAAGCATTATCAGTAAAACTGGTGTAACACCCAAAAAAGGTATAACTAAATAAGCGGAACAACCCGGGAGACTTTGTGTTTCTCTTCCTGGTGTTACGAGTTAATGAAGAATCTCCTTTAATATAAAAGTTGTTATTTTGGAAGCTAGATTTTTATTTATTTTTTCACTGCCACTGGGATTGGACTCAAGACCTTTCACAGCTGTACCCATTCCTTTGGAAGTCTGACTTGGACACGGTGGTCCACGCTCTTGTTACATTCCAAATAGACTACTGCAATAATCTATGTGGGGATGCCTTTGAAGACTGCCCGGAAACTTCCACTAGTCCAACGGTTAGCAGCCAGGTTGCTCACCTTAGCAGCATACAACTCTTTTGTTATGCCAACTCCACTGGTTGCCGATCAACTTCCGAGCACAATCAAAGTGCTGGTTTTAACCTTTAAAGCCCTAAATGTTTCTGGCCCAGACTACCTGTACAAACGTATCTCCTGCTATGAACCATCACAAAGTTTAAGATCTTCAGGAGAGGTCCTGCTCTCAATCCCACCATTATTGCAAACACGGTTGGTGGGGTCGAGAGACAAGGCCTTCTCGACAGTGGCCCCCCGTCTGTGGAACTCTCTCCCCAGGACATCAGGTTGGCCACCTCCCTCCTATCCTTTAGAAGACAAGTGAAGACTTGGCTCTGGGACCAAGCGTTTGATTAATGGATAGCGGCAATTGGAAAGAAGACTTGGGATATTTACGACATTGAATCTTCCTAGACTTGGATTTGATTTTACTGGCATGTTCAATCTACTGCCTAATGAATTATATAATGTGTTTAATGTTTTTTAGTGCTTTAATTGTACTTCAAATTGTTTACTTGTTGACAGCATTGTATGGTGCTTGTGTGAAGCCGCCCTGAGTTCCCCTTCGGGGGGAGAAGGGCAGGGTAAAAGTGCATTAAATAAATAAATATTAGGACTGGTCATTTCTATATGTTTTCCTTTATGTCTGTTACTTATTTCGTGAATAGTATATCCTTAGTTGAATCATAATATGAGAATTGTACTTTTACTACTGTAAATATTGAAGTATTTTTGACATAGTAATACAGCATGAAGTAACCTACTCTGAGGCAGAGTTTTGCGAGTCACACACATACATTGTTGTTTTGTTGGTTGCATCCTACACTAGTCATATTGCGCTTGCTGGCTGCCTTGACTATAAGAACTGGAGGAGATGGCAAGGGTGGCCGTCAGCTGCTGGACAGCCAGGCAAAACCGGAGCATCCGGAGGACAGCCAGGCAAAACCACCCCAAAGCTTATTTGACATTTGCCACTCCAAAGCAGCTCGAGGATAAAGGGTAAGCAGAGAACTGCCTATTGCACTCCAGACCAGGAAAAGTCCACTGACTTTAAACACCACACAGTTGAGTAGAAATGCAATCCGTTTATTGAAGATAATTAAAAAGCAGTAAAAGTAAAAAGCACTTTAAAGGAATAGGTAAATCCAATTAGGTAGGAAGATAAACCGGAACAAAATAGTCCAGGGAATTAGTCCATCAAAGTTCATGAAAAGCAAAGGCAGAAACTTCTATAGTAAAATCCAAAAACTGGGAACATGAATCCAAGGCACTTAAACAATCATAAAATCCAAGAATTAAAAACATGAATCAAAAGCATTTAACCATGAATCTTTTCAAAGCAAGACTTCCAAGGAACAGGGATGAGATCTTGACTTGATTCCAAACTCTGCTTCATCCTGGACTTGGGACTTTTATCTCCTCTCCCAAGCGGCCAGAAATTGATTTTGCTTTAGCTTTGAATCCCTTATTTTTCTTTCTCTGAGCCTGACAGAACACCTGAGACACTGATCTGCTTTCTTTTTCTGACTAATAACATCCCATCTATTTGCTCATTAATTTCTGCAGCTGGGCCAGGTGCTGAGCTGTTCTCATGCTCCAAATCATGGGAATTCTCTGGTAGCAATTCAGGGAGCACACCATCATCCCGCACCCTTCAGAGACATTCTCATGAGAAAATACACTCATGAGGGATCTCCTGGTCATTTTCTGCATCCATATCATTGGAAACACCACAGGCTGAGCTCCAACACTGCCCTTTGAAGCCACCTCGCACAGCCCCCCGCCCTGTGTTTTGATTCCAGCAGCTGAAAGTCCTCTTTACACACTGATTCCCATTGTTCTGAGAAACAACATCCAGCTGAATGCCCTTTCCACTACCACTCATTTTTCTCTTTCTTTCCATATTTTTGAACTGTAAGCCTAAGGGACTTGGGAATCTTGAAGGGTGGGGCATAAATGATCTAAATAAAGAACCACTTGCCTTTTCTCTCGCACAAATTTAATCTGGAACTGGAAGAGCCCCTGTTCATCTTTCCACA